TTGACAGGAGATTATGTAACCGCCACAATAGCTTTGGGAAAAAAAAATCCAGTTTTTTTGGGTACTCCCTTGTATATATGTTTGTTTGTGTGTATGTGTGTGTGTGTATGTGTTGTTAGGGCAGTTTGACTAAAAAAACAAATCCAGTGACGCTCATATATGTATAAGAGAGATCTTTATATCAAGAAGTAGTTATGTATCAGGAAACATCCCAGCCTACTTCAACTCAAGTCCATACGTCCAACACTGGCTCATCAGTCCCTCTTCAGACTCATGAAGCCACATGCAATGATGCACAGGCAGGAATATCGCAGGCCAGTGGGTGAAAAGTCTTGTGAATCCAATGGTGGCGGCTCTGGTAGGTCTCAGAGTGACTTGCCAGCAGGAAGGTGAAGGCAGAGAGAGAGAGAGAGAGAGAGGAGGTTCCCAGGACCCTCTCCATGCGAAGACCACGCCCACAAGGAGTCACCATCAGGCCATGACCCGATTGACAAGTTGGATACCACCCCTACACTATTATATATTTTCAAGTTGACATCAAATTATGTAACACCCCCCCTCCCCCCACACACACATATGAACCAAATTCACTGTTATTGAGTCAATATTGACTCATAGCAACACTCCTGTGGGTTTCTGAGACTGTAACTGTTTACTGGATTAGAAAGCTCCATCCTTCTCCTGAGGAACTGCTGGTGGTTTCAAACTACTGACCATTTGGATAGCAAGCCCAATGTGTAATCATTACACCACCTGGATTCCATATATATATAATTTGCTTGAAGCAATATATATATATTTGCTTGAAGCAAACAAGCTGATTGCTTTTAAAAGAGCCCAAGCAAGGAAGTTGAGATTGCTGTTAGAAATGCTGGGCTGGGTGAGTGTTACGATTAAGGAGTCCACAGGCAGCCCTCCCCACAGAAGAATTTACTTGAGAGGACAGCATTGAAGCCTGGTAGGGCTTGATCAAGGGCAAAGCAACCTAGAGGAATTACTGAAACCCAAATGAAGGCTGAGCATGATAGTGGGACCAGAGGAAAGTAAAAGGAAATAGAGGAAAGAACCGGGAGGCAAAGGGCACTTATAGAGGCCTAAATACAGGCATGTACATATGTAAATATGTTTATATATGATGATGGGGAACTAGATCTATGTGCATATATTTATAGATCTAGTTATAAGGTAGCAGATGGACATTGGGCCTCCACTCAAGTACTCCCTCAATGTAAGAACACTATATTAAACTGGATTCCATGATGCTCACCTTCCCGACATGATCACTGAAGACAAATGGGTTCATAAGCAAATGTCGTGAAGAAAGCTGATGGTGCCCGGCTATCAAAAGATATAGCATCTGAGGTCTTAAAGGATTGAAGGTAAACAAGTGGCCATCTAGCTGAGAAGCAACAAAGTCTACATGGAAGAAGCACACCAGCCTGTGTGATCACGAGGTGTCAAAGGGATTAGGTATC